TGTGCCCATTTCAAAGAAATGTGACCTAACAGAGAGTAGAAATTATCCCACATTCTGGCAAACTATTAACCATGGCATGAAAATAATTTTTCCTGAAAACAATTAAAAAGTGATTGCAGCAGTATATTGACAGGAAGCTGCCAGAAATTCACGCTGGATTCAGAAGAAGGCTGTGGAACAAGGGATGTCATTGCTGACATCAGATGGGTCTTGGCCAAGAGCAGAGAATACTAGAAAGATGTCTACTTGGGTTTTACTTACAATGGAAAGGCATGGACCGTGTGAGTCATAACAAACTATGGCTAACATTGGCAAGAAGGGGAGTTCCAGAACTGAGTTGCTCTCATCTGGACCTGGATCAAGAGGCAGTTGTTGAACAGAACAAGGGGATCTTTCATGATTTAAAGTCAGGAAAGGTGTGTGACAGGGTTGTATCCTTTCACCATAAGTATTCAAACTGTGTGCTAAACAGTCTGAGAAAGTGGACTATATGTTGACGAACATGGCATTCGGATCAGTGGAAGGCTTATTAGTTCACTATTTAAAACTGCACACCTCAGGTACAGGCTAGAAAAAAAGCACCTTTCCCCTTCCTTAGGGGAGTAAAGGGAGCATTTTCTGAGAATCAGCTGATCTTTAAGGCCACATGCTTAATACTCGTACCTTCCCGGAACCTGACAAAACCACATTATTCAACATTGCCTAGTTCTAACCTAAATATTTTATAACTTAAAAAAACAAACAACTTGCTACACATGAAACAAAAGCAGGTTTCAGAGTATGAAAATTCCTTTTATGGAATTTGGAAACTCAGGTTCTGTCAAGCACCTTAACTTTTGGTGTGCTTTTCCTCTTTTCCCCCTTTTGATCAAGAATTTCTTTGAGATCCGTTTCACATGAGCGGCCAGAGAGAAGCGCCAGGGAGCCAGTCACGGAGCCTGGGGTGATTTTTCTCTCTCCCGGGAGATTCTTCATAAAATTTCTCTATGCAGAAACCCCATTCTGTGCCTCTCATAGTAAATCTTTATTTTGGGAAGGCAAGAACCTGAGGCTCCAGTAACATTTCAATTGGAACTTTTTTAAAAAAAGGCATCCTAAGGACATAAAGACAAGTGTATGATTAAGAGAACTTGCCTGAAACCATCCAGTGATCACAGAGACACATCTAAACATGGTTTGTTTGGAATAAACTCACACATGTGCAAACTGGGGAGGGGCGGGGGAAGAATTCCTTTGGGAGTTTGATGCTCACACTACAGAATACTTTTCTTCTGCATGATCTATATCTTTACATTCTTAAAGCTTGGAAAATCATTGTTAGGGCGAGTTGGCTTTCAGTTTCATTTTACTGGGTTCTGATCACCCACAAAGAAGAAAGTCTTCTGCAAGTATTTGATCAGAATTATAGATTGCCAATATACAGACCTTTAAGGCCATAAATGCTGTTGGATGAATGGCAAAGAACCGGTCTCATTAAGAACCATCACAGGGTTTTTCAGCACTGGTTGTGTAGTGGTTATGAGTTGGG